ACTGAGCCACTCAGGCGCCCCGAGTTTTGTCCATTTAAAAGATTGTCTTCGGGGGCACCTGAGTGGCTTAGTCTGGCTTTGGCTCAGGTCATGATATCAGGGTCCTGGAATCGAGCCCCACGTTGGGCTCTGCACTCAGTGAGGGATCTGCTTCTCCTTCTCCCTCTGCCCCTCCCCTGCTTGTGCTCTCTACCTCTGTCTCTCTCTCTCTCTCTCAAATAAATAAAATATAAAAAAAAACAAAGACTTCGGGGCTCCTGGGTGGCTCAGTTGGTTAAGTGACTGGCTTCGACTCAGGTCATGGTCATGGAGTTCCCAGGATCAAGCCCCGCATTGGGCTCAGCCTGCTTCCCACCCTGCTCATTCTCTCTCTTTCTCTTGAATCGAATCTTCAAAATAAAAAATCCTAAAACAAAATCTTAGTATAAAATATGTGCCATTGTCTTTCAGCTGCACAAATGCAGACACTGAGTGTTATGAAGTGGTTTCTGATAGAGTGGTAAATTGAGAGCATTCACAAAAGTATCATTTCTGCACTACTGCCTGGCTGTGAGAGTACGCGAATGTATGATTCTGTATAATTTGTTCAAATGAGTCTTTTTTTTTAAGATTTTATTTATTTGAGTCTTTTTTTTTTTAAAATATTTTATTTATTCATTTGACAGAGAGATACGGCGAGAGAGGGAACACAAGCAGAGGGAGTGGGAGAGGGAGAAGCAGGCTTCTTGCAGATTTGGGCGCCCGATGTAGGGCTCCATCCCAGGTTGCTGGGATCATGACCTGAGCCCAAGGCAGATGCTTAATGACTGAGCCACCCAGGCGCCCCTCAAATGAGTCTTTTTTTTTTTTTTAAGGTTTTTTTTAAAATTTCTTTATTTGACAGACAGAGATCACAAGTAGGCAGAGAGGCAGGCAGAGAGAGAGAGGAGGAAGCAGGCTCCCCGCCGAGCAGAGAGCCAGATGTGGGGCTCGATCCCAGGACCCTGGGATCATGACCTGAGCCAAAAGCAGAGGCTTAACGACTGAGCCCCACCCAGGAGCCCCAGCAGTGTTTTTTTTTTTTTTTTAAGATTTTATTTATATATTTGATAGACCGAGATCACAAGTAGGCAGAGAGACAGGCAGAGAGAGAGGAGGAAGCAGGCTCCCCACTGAGCAGAGAGCCCGACGCGGGGCTTGATCCCAGGACTCCGGGATCATGACCTCAGCTGAAGGCAGAGGCTTTAACCCACTGAGCCACCCAGGCGCCCCTAGCTGTGTTGTTTTAGATTCACATCAGCATGGGTTCCAGTTTCTCCACATCCTCTCCCACACTCATTTTCTTTCTTTTAAAAGATTATGGCCATCCTGGTGAGTGTGAAGTGGGTCTGGCTGCGTTTTTTCCAAGCATTGTTTGAATACTGGACTGCTAGTATATTCCCAGCGTTAAGCTGGGAGCATAAAGTTGGAGTATATTGTTTTTAGACGTTTCTCGATTCTATTTGCTGATACTTTGAAGATTTTTGCTTTTTCTATTCCTGAATGATATTGGTGTGAAATTGTTCTCTTCCTATACTGTATCTGATTTTGGTGTCAGGGCAATTCTGAGCTCCTAAGATGAATTCAAGAGTGCTCTCTTCTCTTCTATTTTCTGGAAGAACTTGTGTAGTTTTGGTGCCTTTCCTCCTTTAAATTTGCCAATGACCCCTTCGGGGCCTGAAGTTTTGTTTTTCTGAGCGTCTTGAACTATAAATTCAGTTCATTTGGTAAATAAATGAGTGGTCACATTTGCTGTTTCTTCTTTGGTGAGTTTTGATTGTGTCTTTTAAGCCATCCGTCCATCTCATCAATATTTAACACTTTTGGGGTGCCCAGGTGCCTCAGTGGGTTAAAGCCTCTGCCTTCGGCTCAGGTCATGATCCCAGGGTCCTGGGATCGAGCCCCACATCGGGCTCTTTGCTCCGCAGGGAGCCTGCTTCTCCCTCTGCCTGTCTGCCTCTCTGCCTACTTGTGATCTCTGTCAAATAAATAAATAATAAAATCTTTAAAAAAAATAACACTTCTGTGCATCAAAGGACACTATCAAGACTGTGATGAAAATGTTCTAAAATCAAACTGTGGTGATGGTCGCACAGCTCTGTGAAGACATCAGAAACAACTTTACGTTATAAGTCATTGACTTGCGTGTGAATTGTATCTCATTCTAAGTGTTAAAAAATCAATGATGACATCAGAACCGGTTTTGTTAGTGAGGACCACAGCTGCTCTGGGTATTTCCTTCGTTGCTTGCGTGTCCATGAGCTAACTGCCCCTCCCTTCCGTTATCTGATGTAAACGTATTGATGAAGATGGGGAACTTCGTGATTTAAGTTACACGGCACTCCAGGGGAATCCGAGGGGTGGATACGATATGGTGACTCCAGTGTGCTGTTTGTCCCTCCCTTTTAGGAAGAGAACATTGTGTCTGTGCACAAAGGATCCTCACTCCCTGATAGGGGGAAGCACGGTTTTAGAGTCAGTCATATGGAAATCCAGTACAGTAGAAACGTGTACGGGTGACAGCCAGCCAAAGGGTGGACTGTGCTGGTTACTGTTTCAGCCCCAGACCCACTCCATTCTCTGTGATGGGTTGCTGGACCACAGAAAACTACATTTCCCAGGCTTCCCTGGCATCTGGCTTCCTGTTAAGGTCCACCTGCTAGTAGGAGCCAGCTGGGGGAGAGCTGGAAGTGAAACCAGGGTCTTTCTTGAGCTCTCCCATGCTCGTCAGCCTCGGCAGGTTTCGGCCCCTGGAATGACTGTTTTTGCACCCACCTTCTTAGAAGTAGCAGCAACTGCTTCGAATCCAGCCAACACACATCAAAGATCCAAGAACTGCAGGGGCACCTGGATGGCTCAGTCGGTTAAGCATCTGCCTGTTGATTTCGGCTCAGGTCATGATCTCAGGGTCGTGAGATCGAGCCCCACATTAAGCTCCACGCTGAGTGTAGAGCCTGCTTAAGATTCTCTCTCCCTCTGCCCCTCCCCTGCTCTCTCTCTTTGAGAGAGAGAGAGAGCGAGCACACGTGCACACAAGCAGCAGGGAGGGACAGAGGGAGAAGCAGACTCCCTGCTGAGGAGGGAGCCTGCTGCGCCGGCTGGATCCCAGGATTCTGGGATTGTAACCCAAGCCGAAGGCAGATGCTTAACCGACTGAGCCACCCTGGTGCCCCTCAAAATAAGAACTCTAAAAATCCGAGCACTGGTCTCCCAGGGCTCCTCCCTCCAAGGTCCTAGCCAGCTTCCAAGACCCCCACTGATCCCCTCTGGTACAGTATTGGTGGCCTTTGTGTAGTCCGCTCCCACACGGAATCAGGGTGGCCCACGTGACCAGCAGAATATGGTGGAAGTAATGCTGTGACTTCTGAGACTGGGTCATAAAAGGCAGTGTCGCTTCTGCTCGGCTCTCTTGGGTTTCTCGAGGAGCCCTGTGGAGAGGCCTTGACAGGCACCGAGGCCTTGGGTCAGCAGTTGGCATCAGCTTGCCACCATGTGAGGAAGCCACAGGGGTCCTTGGGTGGGGACCCTCCAGCTCCCATCACGTCCTTAGAGGGCTGCAGCCCAGACAGTATGCGAGCACAACCTCAGGAGAGACCCCAGGCCTAAACCACCCACCCAAGTTGCTCCCAAATTCTTTTAAGCTGCTGAGTTTAAGGGGTGATTTGATACAGCAACAGCAGATAGCTAAAGTAACCCCTTCTTTTCCTAAATGCCCCTGCCAGGGTCACGGCAGCAGCTTCCCGAAGTCCCCTGTCTCTGGGTCATGCCAGTATCCACTTTTTACCCTGCCACGGTCTTTCAGCTGCTGCATGAACGATGCCTTCTACTAAAAGCCTCTACATGGGAAAGAGCTGGTGTGCTTTCCTGACTGGACCCCTTAAAGTTGTAGAAAGAACATTTCTTAGTCCGTGAAAGCAATACATTCCCTGGTATCTCGTCCTCCCTGCTCCCGAGTGGCCGGGCCGCCCCTGCCCCCCACTCCTGCCCTGCCACCTGTCCCCACCCGCCCTCTTCTCTGGTCTTCCCACGGGGCTTCTAGTCACAAAGCGTCACTCTCGTTCCTGGTTCCTCGGGGCCCCAGACACACATGGCGACGGGGAATCTGCGTGGGGAGTATGGAATTTATTTTATTGTTCTGAGTCTGGATGCGTGTTCCTTAGACATCACGGTTCCCGGTCAGAGGGGACATGTCCCCCCTCCTGGCCTTGTAGTGCCATGGGCCTGTTTGGATTGTTTTCCAGGTTCAAAGTGCACTGAGAAGGCTTCACAGTTTTAATACTTCCTAGATGCTCAACTGAGGCGAAGTGACAAAATGGCTCCCCCACCCCCGCCCGCCAGAAAAATAAAACCCCAAGCCCCCCGACAGCAGCTGCTACGGCCATATGAAAAAATAATACAAATTCTTCTTAAAAAATAGATTACACAGAAAGAACCCAGAGGACAGAGGGCCACGGCAGGGGAGGGGGATGGGGGGAGGGAGACACCTGGGGAGAAGCCCGGGGGGGGGGGGGGGGGTACTGAGATGAACTGCGGGGGCGGGGATGCTGGTGGACACCTGCCTCGTCCGCTCTGCCTAGCGTCCCTCTGTGGCTCCGCCCAGCAGCTCTGACCCGGGGCCCCGACTCCCCTGTCCCCCAGCGGACCCTCCCTTCACCCTGAGGCCTGGTACCTGCTTCTCACTAAAGTGGCTTCAAGAAAGAAACGAAGAGACCCAAAGCCAAGAGAGGCCTGCGGCTGAGCTACTGGGGGTTTCCATCCTGCAGGGGCAGACCTCTCTGCGTTTGGGGGTTTGGGTAATTATCGATACCTCCAGCTACGAGACACCCCCCCCGGGGGCGACACACCCCAGCAGCACGGCCTCTCCCTCACTCCGTGCCCTCCCCTGCCTACCTAGCCAGTACTGGGCGGTCGGAGGTGTCTACCAGTCCAGCCTCAGAGGCGCTGCAGACGGGTGGGGGGTGCACAGGGCGGCGGCAGGGGTGGGCGGAAGGGTGCAGGATGGGGCGGGACTCACCGGGCCCTCCGGCTCATGCAAGGAGAAGCGAGAGGGGGCGGCCCCACCATGGCGGAGGTAAGGCAGGGCGAGGTGACTGTGTGTGTGTGTGCAGCCAGGCCAGCTCCGGGGCCGCGGCCCGCAGGGGAGGAGAAGGCAAGGCAGAGCCTGGTGCCAGGGAGGAGTCTGGGTGCCTGCCGCCCAGCTGGGGGCTGTGCACCCCGCCAGGACCCGCAGAGGAGTGCGGTGCCGGCGGTGGGGATGGGGGCGGCTGGGTGGGCCGGGCTCAGTCGGGGACCTCGGGGTGCGCAGGCAGTCCGCTCTCGCCGCGCCGGTAGGTCTCCCAGAAGCCCTTGTCCAGCTGCTCCAGCTGCGGGCCCAACGGCAGGTGGCCGGCCAAGTGCATGTGGAGGGTCTCCAGCCACTGCTCCAGCTTCCCAAAGGAGGGCCTGGGGGGCAGGCGGGTGGGGTGTTGGGTTCTGCTCCGGAGGGGACGGGGCCCACCCCTAGGGCTGCTCCCGGGGGAGCCCAGGCTACACTGACCTCTTCTCAGGGTCCAGATCACAGCAGCGCACGGTGATGGGGAAGAAGCTTGGCGGGCAGTTCGGGGGGCAGTAACGGTCCAGGAAGCCTCGCACATTGAGACCAAAGTCCATGGTGCGGGGCAGGTAGTCGGGGTCCGCGTTCACCCGCCCAATGATCTGTCCAGCGCAAGGCCCAGCAGTTACCCAGGGTGGTGGAGGGCTTGCGGGGGGGTGTCCCTGGGGCTGGGAGCAGGTGCCAGGCCACCACACTCCCCCAGGGGTGCAGGCTGCTGTGGGCGGTCCCTGCAGACTTCCAGCCCGCGGCCCAGGAGTGTCGGGGGTGGACCAGAGCCACCAAGCCCAAAGCCAACTGCCACCTGCCCCTGGACCTACCTCGCACAGAACGATTCCAAAGGAAAACACGTCCACCTTCTCGTCGTAGCTGCGGCCTGGGTGGAGAGACCGGCTATCAGCAGGCAAGGCTGGCACAGGGACCAGGCAGCCGGGGCCAGGAGGCAGACGCTAGTGGCGTCCACGGGACCAGGGCTTAGGCTCTGCCCCCTTACCTCCCCGACCCTACCAGGTCTGAGCAAACCTTTGGGGAATGAGAATGAGAGTCCTGGGCAGAGGGTTCCAGACCCAGCTTGACCACTGACCAGCTGTGACTTTAGGCAAGTCATGGACCATGTGGTGGCCTTGAAATATATCCATGTCACACCCCTGGGACGGGTGACCCCTGCTCTATTAGAAAAAAGGTCTTTGACCATATGATTGCTAAGGACCTGGAAACGAGAGAATCCTGGATTATCTGGGTGGGCTCTAAGCACCGTTATGAGGGTCTTAGGAAGAAGAGGAGACAGGAGAGGTGGTGGGGGCCACAAGCCCGATACAGCCCCCGGCAGCCGGGAGTGGGTTCTCCCCTTAGATCCTTGGAGGGCCCACGCCTCTCCTGGATTTCCGACTTTGGGCTTCCAGAACTATGAGAGAATTCATTTCTGTTGTTTTAAGCTGCCCAGCTGGTGGAAGTCTTGTTGACGGCAGCCCCAGGGACGGGCAGAGGCTCTCTGAGGCTTGGGTTCTTCAGCTGTGACGTGGGGAGTGCGACTGTCTACCATGAGATGTTAACGATCCGTACGGCTGCTCCCACGTGTCTGATTCTCACTAGTTTACAAGCCTCAGCTCCTCAGCGGGTGCTCACAGACCCCCTTAAAAGTAGGGAGCGAGCCCCGTCTTGCAGGTTGTCAGCAGCCGGGATGTGGGCGGTGCTGGTGTCGAGAGGCCCCATCCCTGGCCACCCCAACCCCGTGTGTGCACCTGCCCGGGCGGGGGCTTTATAGCATGCCGTGTGGCCACATGTGGGGCACTGGGTGATGGGCCTGACCAAAAAGAAAAGAGAGGCGCCCCACCACCTACTCCCTGGGCCCTGTGGAGATGTCGCCTTGCATGGGATATGCTGGTTGGATGTGGACAGAGGACGGTACAACCACAAAGATCCTTACGAGGGACACAGGCATGGAAGGAGACCTGACAACGGACAGAGGTCAGAGAAGGGACCAGGGTCCTAGCCTTCATCGGAGAAGGGGCCTCTCGGGCCAAGGGACGGCGGCGGCCTGTAGAGGCCAGAAGGGAAAGGGGTTCTCCCCTCGAGCCTCCAGAAGGAACCCGGCCCAGCTGACACCTGAGACCCACGCTGACTTCCTACTCTCGGGACTAGATGGTAACTTGGTTTCCAAGCCACGCAGGGGGCGATCTGTTACAGCGGGACAGGGAACGGGTCACGGGAGGCGAGGAGGGAGCCGAGGGGAGGAGGCGGAGGCCGGGGACTGCGGGGCCGCCCACTCACCGTTGATCATCTCGGGCGCCATCCAGTACGGGTTACCCACCACCGTGTATCTCTTCTTACGGTCTGGCTTCTTGAGGCTTCGCAGGTCCGCGGGCTGCGTCTTCTCTTCCACCATGAGCCGGGCCAGCCCGAAGTCGGCCACCACCACGTTCTTGTTCTAGGGCGACGAGGAAGCAGAGCCACACTGGGAAAGCCTCCCAGCACCACCAGCCCACCCCACGCCTGGTAGGGACCGGTCCGCAGCCGGCTCCGAGGAGATGCCTCAGACTCCTGGGGGCCTGGGAGAACTGTGCCCGCCCCATCAGGGCGCCAGGGCCGCCCGGCTGTGTGGGGAAGGTGGTGGCTCCCCTTCAAGACCCAGGTCCTCTGCTCCGCCCGGGACAGCTTTGTCTCTTACTCCTCCCTCCAGCAATCTGGGGAGGTTATTTTCACACCCACTTCACACAGGCTATTACTCAGGCCCAGAGAGGTTAAGAAAGCTGCCCGAGGCCATCCAGCTAGTCAGCTCCACTGTTTCAGGTCTGCAGGAGCCCCTGTAGGCCTGGAACCCTGTGGAGTAGAGATGCTGACTACTGTGTCTACCCCTCAGGATGGAAAATCAGGGGGCGCCTGGGTGAATCAGTCGTTGGGCGGCTGCCTTTGGCTCGGGTCATGATCCCAGGGTCCTGGGACTGAGTCCTGCATCGGGCTCCCTGCTCAGTGGGGAGCCTTCTCCCCCCCCACCCCGCCGCTTGCCTCTCTACCTGCTTGTGATCTCTCTCTTTGTCAAATAAATAAATAAAATCTTTAAAAAAAAAAAAAGATGGAAAATCAGGGAGGGGCCCCTCTGAAGGGCTGGGGGGGCACCCCAGGGCACCGGTGACAAGTCAGGGGGCTGGGGAGGTCCTCTAACGGACCCTCCGTGCCAGCGCCAGGATTGGCCATGGTATCTGGACGCTGAGGACTGGGCCCAGAGTGGGAGGCCACAGGGCCCCGGCCAGGGGGTGCTTAGGACCAGGATAATGGTTTTTTTTTTTTTAAGATTTTATTTATTTATTTGACAGAGAGAGATCACAAGCAGGCAGAGAGGCAGGCAGAGAGAGAGGGGGAAGCAGGCTCCCCGCTGAGCAGAGAGCCCAATGCGGGGCTCGATTCCAGAACCCTGAGATCATGACCTGAGCGGAAGGCAGAGGCTTTAACCCACTGAGCCACCCAGGCGCCGCAGGACCAGGCTAAATCTTAAGAGAAGGACTCTGTCGCCTCTAGGAGTGACACCAATGTGGACAGCTGTCTAGAGGACACTGTACAAGGACAGCAGGAAAAGGGAGGGGCTGAGCAAGGGGCAGGGTCCGCCAGGATCGTTCAAGGGCTGCTTCCAGCCCCATCCCTCTGTGCAGGCCTCCAATTTTGAGGGGCCCCCCAGGGACTAATGATACAGCAGCCGCCCAGGCCCTGCAACGGGAAACAGCTCTAGGGAAACCAGCCAAGGGTGACCAGCGGATTCTCAGAGGCCCCAGATGGTGGGCAGTTCTGCTTTGTGCAGAGATGGATTCTGGGGATGGCGGTTGGGGGGCTCACAACTCGCATCAGATCCTCAAGGGATGCCCCCTGCTGCGGGTGGCGGCGGGGACAGGTCACCCTCTCCAGGCCCTGCACGCCACACGGGCTCGGCCCTGCAGTGACACTCATCACCGGCAGGGGCAGTGTGAGCCCCGGGGATCCAGCCCCGCCCACCTCGGTGCTCACGACCCACTGCTTTCTGCTGCTTTGGCCCCAGAGCCTCCAGGAAATTCCCAGTGCACTGGGACACCCGCCCCTGCCCCCCAACCGCGCGGACTCTACAGCAACCAGCTCCTTGCTTCCCGAATGTCATACTGCGGGGCCTGAAACCCTTCTTGTACTGAGTTCATTTGGCAAACACCTGCCAGGAGAAACGGCCTCCTCCAGGCCGGGATCTCAACCTGCCTAGTGGGATGAAGAGTTTCCTTCTCCAAATTTATGTCCACTTAGAACCTCAGAGCGACTGTGTTTGGACACGGGACTTCTGCAGACGCTACCAGTTCAGATGAGATTATACTAGATCGGGGGGAGGGGTCCCTAAATCCAGGGCCTGCTGTCTTTGTAAGAAGAGGACACACCGTGGGAAGTCAGTCTCCGGCTGAGGCTGGAATGATGTGGCTGCCGGCCAAGGAGTGCCAAGGAGTGCCAGCAGCCTCCGGAGCCGGGAGAGCAGCACGGGACAGATCCTCCCCCAGCGTCTCCAGGAGGAGCCAACCTTGTCAGCACCTGGGTTTGGGACTTTTTGCTTCCTGAACCCTGTGAGTGCGTTTCGGCCACATCCAGGCTGTGCTTCTCTGGGATGGCAGCCCCAGGAAATGAGTGAGCCCCGTCTCCAGCTGGGCATGGTCGGTCAACCCCACTGCCTATGGTCCCCTCCATCCCCACCCCTCAGACCCTGGGCTCGCAGCCCCCCCGCAACCCCCCCTTCCCCCCTTTAGTGTACCCCCCCCCCCCCCACAGCCTCTCGGAAGCCGGCCTTGACCACGCCCACCCACACGCCCAGGCCTCCCTCCAGATCTGGGGTTGTTAAGTGCTGCGTGCCACCCCAGCCGCTGTGCAGTGGGCTGTTTTGGCGACAGCCTCGCTCACAAGCCATCAGGGGTTACCCATCACTCTCTCCTTTATCCGTTTATCAGAGCCTCCCAACAACCGGGAGCCACGGTCCAAGCAGATGGCCGCGCCGGGTCTGGCACTGCTTCCCCACGAGCCAGAGGAGGAGTGGAGGAGGCAAGCCAGGATCCCCATCCCTGCAAGGCCCCCCTAGGCCAGGAGTGTGCGGGGCGGGGTCTCCCTCCCCGGGCCCAGGCTGCTCACCTCTCGGACCAGGCAGTTGTGGGAGTTGAGGTCCCGGTGGATGATATTCATGGAGTGAAGGTAGGCCTGGGGGCAGGGGGCACGGAGGTCAGGGGGCTGCTGTGCCCAGGGAGCCCAGCCCGGCCCTGGCTCCCCAAAGGCTCACCCCATTTGGACGAGGGAGGGGTGCTCCTCCCACCCCCCCGCTGATGCCCTCTGCTCGCTCTCAGAGCTTTCTGACAGCTTCTGCCTCTGACTTTCCAGTAAAGTTAGGTTAGTGGGACAGAGTCTTGGTACAAGTGGGGTTAGCTCACCCAGCCCACAACCCCCGAGCCTACTCACCATCCCTGAAGCGATGTCCTTGGCAAAGCTCACCCTCTGACTCCACGGGTACTGGCTGTCCTGTGGGGGGAGAAGGGCCAGGATGGGCCAATGGGGCCACAGCGGCGGAACGATCAGGTGAGAGAGATCAGACAGGGCAGCGAGTCCAGGGACCACCCCCCTCCCCACTCTCTCTTGCACCCACGTCTGTCCACATCGAAGGGGTGTGTCTGGATAACTCAAAAAGATCATTCTCGGGGTGCCTGGGCGGCTCAATGGGTTAAGCCTCTGCTTTCAGCTCAGGTCATGATCTCGGGGTCCTGGGATTGAGCCCCGCATTGGGCTCTCTGCTCAGCGGGGAGCCTGTTTTCCTCTCTCTGCCTGCCTCCCTGCCTACTTGTGATCTCTGTCAAATAAATAAATAAAATCTTAAAAAAAAAAAAAACCAACAACAAAAAACCCCACATCATCCTCCACCATGGGATTTCAAACACAAAGCGGGGGGATACTCCTCTATGACTCCCGACCCAGCTCTTTGGAGGGAAAAAAAAAAACACCATCTTCTATCTTCAACACAATCCTGTTCTTTCAGGTTTTTAAGAAAATCCGAACCTTCTTTCCTGTAAGAGCAGACAGACTTGCCCAACGAGAGTGCCTATAGGGCACCAGCGAGCAGGGCTCTGGGATCAGATCCTCCAGCGAAATGCTTGGTTCTCCCCCCCACCTCCCGCCGGGGATCTCGAGATGGGGGGTGAGGACATCGGAGCATATCAAAGACGGGTGTGCAGTGGGGAAGCCCCAGAGAGTGTAGCTCGGCATTTCCAAACTGAACTTGACCAGAGCACCCTTTCCGGGAAGGTGTACCTGTTAGGGGCCTGCAGGGACCCAGCCTGAGGGAGGGGGGCATCTGGGGAGCAGGAACGCTCAGTCTCGGGGTGGGGTGGGGGGACTCCAAGGCGGGGTGCCATCTGCGAGCACCGGGGTGCTACCGGCTCCTCCCCAAATCTGTTTTCAGTTTGGATTTGCAATTTCTCTCCAAGCCCTTAAAGAAAGTTCCGAATTTCGCAGAACATAGTAAATAGTAAAAAAGCCCCCCATGGGGAGAGCACAAAGGTGCCTCTCCTGAGGGGTTCCGCCCCCAGCCCGGACAGGTAAGGCTGGGTCCGGCTGCCCTGGGCCCGGGCGGGGTCAGGCCAGGGGTCCACAGGATGGTCACCCCGAAACAGCCCTCGTGTCTGCTCAGAGGAGCTGCTGCCCGCTCTGGACCTCCGCTTTAGGTGGGAGTGGGGAGCTCCCCGTCTCCCTGATTCAGAATTAGGGTTCGGAGGCCGAAGGCGAACCCCACTGAAGAGGCTGCGGGGGCCCAGAGAGCAGCTGCCCGCCCAGGGCCCGCAATGCTGGCGGTGGGGATCTCGATGCTCACCATGCTCTTGATGATGCCCCGGAGGGTGCCCCCCTTAATGTACTCGGTGATGAAGTTGAGCCTCTTGTCCTTATAGAGCACCCCGATGAATTTGAGCACGTTGGGGTGCTCCAGGCATCTCATGACCTTCACCTGGCGGGGGGGGCAGACAGGCTAGGCCTGGGGCTCTGCCCCAGTCACTCTCCCCATGCTGCCCCGCCAGAGGCCCCCACCGGTCCCGGAGGTGGAAGAGTCCCCACCCGTCTGGCCCCCGTGAGGTCTGCGAGGGCCGCGCCCACCCCCCAGCGATGCCCTTGCCCGCCTCGCTCTCCCGGCGAGACACTTTCTTTTCTTCCAGCGTGTGGCTCGTGCGTCCCATCCTCCTGGAACCCCGTGCCGCCCCCTCAACGGAGAAGTCTGGGGGGGGGGGGGGCAGGTCCATTTGCCGACCTCCTTGAGGAATGTCCTCTGGGTCTCTTCGTCGAACCGGATCAGCTCCTTCATCACCATCACCTCGCCCGTCTCCCGGTGCGTCACCTGTGCGGGGACACCGAGGCACGGAGACTCAGCACGGACAGAGGCTCTGCTCTCTGCCCGCCTTGCAGGAGGCCCAGTTGCTCCCCAAAACTGTAAGGGAGACGGACACACCCGGCTTGAAGCTTCATGGGCATTTCAGGGGATGTCCCCAACCCCCGAGAGGCGGGACTTATCGACCGCCTCACAGATGAGGCTTCCTGATAGCCCGAGGTCACCCAGCAGGAGGGAAAGCGGGTGGCTGGGGTTCAGGTCCAGCACCGTGAGACCCAGAGCCCAGCCCTCTTTCTCCTGCTCCGCTGGGAGGTCGACTGGCGGCTTTACCAGGGTCTCCCATCCCCTGGGATGGGGACCAGGCACAGGGCATCTTCTGCATGATCCTGAACCTTCCAGCCCGGTCACAGCCGGGGAACACCGGAGCCAGGGAAGGGCTTGGGTCTCTACCAAGGGAGCGTGGGAGAGGGTAAGCAGTGTACGACCCATAGGGGTTGGCCTCAGGCTCAGTGCAGGGCCCCGGGGAGGGCCCCTTCTGGATCCCACCCTCCACCTTCCAACCACGTTCTCCACAAAAAGTTCTGGGTCTCCCTGAAGTGGGTCCCCTCCTGCTAACCAGCTCAGGGAAGCCCGGCCGGATGAGAGTACGGGCCAGGGAGTCTGGAAGCTGGGTGCCCCGTCCACTGTGCGTTCCTGGAGGCAGTGGAGGGAGGCAGGAGGACAGACAGGTCTCACTGGGACTGCCCCCCCATCCCTGCACAGGTGCACCCCGTACCTTGATGGCCTGGCCAAAGCAGCCCTTGCCCAGCACCTCCCCGTGGATGAGGTCTGACGGCCGGAAGATGCGGTGTGGCCGGCAGACCACGCGCAGGGACTCGGAGCGCCCCAGGTCCTTGCGCTGGGAGGCCGGGGAGCTCAGGGAGCCGGCTCCGGGAGACCTGTCGATGCTGTAGCTCCTCCTGGCAAGGCGCACGGGGGGCTCAGTGTCCCCGGGGCACGCGGGCACCAGGCCTCAGGCCCAACCCCTCCTGCCTGCCATGCTCCCATCCACGCCAGTGCACGCAGTTGGCACCCCCACCCCAGCGCGGGAGAGCGTGGCATGGGGCGGCTCCCCTGGGTGGTCGTACGGCTCTCGCCCCATCCTGACACCAGCACCCAGGGCCCTGTCCCAAGCCTGCTATCCTGCAGGTGCCTCCACAGCACCGTCTGCCCTTGGCCTTCTCTGCCTAGGGACCCAAGGTCAGGGGCTTCATCTCCCAGCATTCGGGCGCCAGGCCCTGGAGTGTGGAGCCAGATAGCCTGGCCAGGTGCTGTAGCCCCACTGTGTGAGCAGCTCCACGGGCCAGCTAGAACTCCAGACAAACGCAGACAAGCAAGTACCACAGGCCTTCAGCACCACCATGTCTCAGAGTAAATGCGATTTCCCTAGGAGGTGTCCCTCCCCCAAAAATCTTTGCTCGGAGTCCTGAGCAGGCCTCACGGTGAGCGCTGTGAGAACCCAGGCTGCTTTTGGGTTTCTTCCTCATGCTCCCCCTCCCTTTGAGAGAGTTTGGGGCTCCTGGCACCTCCTGCCTGGGCTCCTGCAATGGCCCGTGAGCCATCTCTGGGCTCGGGCACCCTGGTGCACAGGGAACCAGCGCGATCTCTGGAACATACCCTTCAGGGGGCCCACCCCTCCCCAAAGACATTCGATGCTCCCATCGTCCTGAGCTACCTGTGTATCTTCCCTGAAGCCAGGGTGCTGGTCCCCCCTGGAGCGCTCCGTAACCCCCAGCTGGGGCAGCTGTACCCCTCTCCCACCTCTCATGACCCTTCTCCAGTCTTAGCCCTCTGCAACCTCCACTGGCCTGCTTTTCTGCAAGGCTGACTCGGCCACCAGACTAGGGGAACCTCGAGAGCAGGGACCAGGCCCCACCCCCTGAGACCCGGTTTCTGGTTACAAGGCACGGGGCTGACTTACAGGACAGGCTTCTGCCGTGTAGAGCTGCCCACCTCCCCACTGGGAGTGTGAGTTGGGGAGCTCAGGGGGCTGGGCTCAGACCCCAGCCCATGGCCCAGTGTGTCGTGGGGGTCGTGCTCGAGGGTTAGCTGCAGCAGGCGGCTGGTTTCCTGGATCAGCAGGTCAATCTGGGGAGAGCGGGTGTGCAGACGGGTGAGTCTGAGGTGGGGGAGGAGCCCCGACCCTGCTCACGGGACCCGGGACCCGTACCTCATCCAGGGGCACATTCCGGATGGGCGTGCCATTGATTTCCAGGATCCGGTCTCCGACGTGGATGGAATTCTTTACGTCTGGACTCATGCAGCCTGGGTCCACCCTGGGGGTAGAGAGAGGAGTGGTCAGACCCCTGCCTGCCTGTCCCCCGGAGCCCTGACGGAAAACCAAGGGCGAGGGGATCAGATCGGGGTGAGGAGGAAGTGAATTTCTCTCCGGCATGCCTGACCGACGGCAGTGGTCTAGATCGGCAGTTCTGGTTTGTTGGGAAGAATTCTGTCACTGACGACGGATGTCGGCTGTGGCTGTGGAAGTGGAGGGAAGTGGGATTTGCTGCTCTAGTCCTGGAGGCTCAGACCAATCCTTCCAACTGCCCGGTGTGTTTCAGGCAGATGAGTGCCCCAGGAGGAGTCCCCTGCGGGTCTGGAACCATCGGCTTCCTGAGTCCCAAAACCGGCCCCTCGAGATGAAGCAGAGGCTTCTCCTTCCGCAGATTCAGAGGAAGGGGCCGGGAGCCCACCCTGAGCCACAGCCGCGGGCCGGAGGCAGGACGGCACCCACGCTTGGACCCGTGGAACGACCAGTTTGCCAAATTTATCTGCTTCTCTGAACCCCTTGGCTACCTTGTTTTCATTTTGTCTTCACGCAAGTTTTTTTAAGGGATGTTCACTTTGTCTCTGCCCTGAGATGGGGAAGGGGTAAGGAGTGGGACGGAAAGGAGACCGGGGACTTTAGGAAAAAAGGTTCATAAGGGGGCGGCTGGGTGGAGCACTTGGTTAAGCATCTGACTCGGTTTCTGCATGGGTCACGGATCATCTCAGGGTCGTGAGATCGAGTCCTGCGTCGGCTCCGTGCTGAGTGTGGAGCCCACTCGGGATTCTCTCCCCACCTCGGTCCCTGCCCCCTCCTCATGTGTGTGTGTATGTGCTCGCTCTCTCAAAAAAAAAAAAAAAAAAGGAAAAAAAAAGAAAAGAAAAAGCTTCATAAAAATTCTCCATCATCAAGAGTATAGTCTCACATGGAGAAACTCTCCCTTACCCTGGAAAGCCAGGTCATTCGTGAGAGAGGAAGAAGAGACTTAAGGACCCACCATGGTGTAGCCATCGTAGGAGTTAAGCGAGACAGCCAAGAAACCTTCACGGGTGCCCCGACCATCTGGGGAAAGGCTGCTGGGGGCAGGAGGTTTACAGACTCAAATCTCACAAATGACTTATTGATTATGTTTCAAAGGGAAAAAAAAATATCCTGGATAGCAGACGGAGGACTGTACTTCTGACCGAGTAATCAATGGTGGGCTTTATTGACTTCGTGGGTCTGGTCAGCAGCCGCAGGAAGGACACGGCATCATGACGTTGCATCAGGTCAAAACCCATAACCTGAGTCTGACAAAGTGGTCAGAGCAGGGCAGCCAGCCCCAGACAGAGGGAGTTCTGCTTAACCGCTGGCCCGCCCTCTTCGTAAATGTCCAGCTCGTGGAGGACGACGAAAAGCTGAGGACTGTCACAGATTCAGAGACGGAAGGGGACACGTGGGTTTTCAGCGCCATGTATGGTCTTGGGCTGGAGGCTGGGTGGAGGGAAGCGGCCCCAAGGGTGGCGTTGAGAAAACTGGAAAAACGTGAACGTGGACTGTCCAGTGGATCGAAGTATCATGTTGGTGCTCAATTTCTTCAGCGTCGTAACTGTGCGATGAGACACGATCGGTAATTAGGCAGGAGAGTGCCCTTGTTTGTAGAACAATGTCAGGTGTCTGGTGGGGGCAGAAGGACCAGTAGAGCTTGGAACGGAATCCTGAGCCACTTAGTAAATAACAGTAACGTGTACATATGTGTACGTGTAAATATAAATCATTCCAATGTACACATATGCATATGTAGAAAGAAACGCATACCCTAACAGTGCCCCCCGCCAAAAAGTTACATTAGTGAACATCCTATAAATTTGAAAATTTCCAGATAAAAACTCGGAAGTGAGTCTATTTCATCGATACAGTCTTCTCGTGGGCACGGTCTTCGAAGTGTATCTCTCAGCTTCCCCTTGATCTCCTGCTACGGCGGCAGGGGGCTGGGGCACAGATGCAGGAAACTTTCCTTCCGATGCTGCGATCGACAAAAAGCCAAGTGGTCCACAGGGGCTGGCTTAAAACAAACAAGTAAATCCGGTCAGCAGCCTCTGGGCGGGCAGGGCGGCTCCTCCGAGGGGCGTGGTGGTCTGGGCCGAAACTGCTGGGAAAGCAGCTGCCGGCTGGCGGAGGCTCCGCCGGCGAGAGGGAGGCAGGAGGAGTGCAGTTCCTTGGCTTTCTGTTTCTAAAATCCTGCCTGGCTTCCAGAGACCAGCTGGTCTGGGAGTTCCCCCAGCTCTCTCACCAGTCTGTCTGCCCGCTGCTGTAGACGAGGCAGCTGCTGGCCTGGCTGGCACTCACGGGGCGCGGGGGGAAAGGGGGGCAGAGGCAAGGTCAAGACCAGACGCATCCTGCCCCCGGCGCCTCCCCCCTCCTGACCCATGCCTCATGGTGGTGCCACTGGATCTCACAGAAGCTGGCACTTGGCTCCCAGGCCCACTAGTTACTTCTCAAGGAGTCCATCAATGCCCAGGAGACATCTTAGAAGGCTCCAAGGTGTCCAACTGCCTCTCTGTACAAAGCCCAGAGAGGGCAGGGGGCTGCTTGGCGTCACACAGCGTGCTGGCAACTCTGCTGGCTCCTTTATCTGCCTTCTTATGTTTCACACCTTTTCTACATCCTTTAGGACTCTGGTTAGGGACGACCTGCTCATCGCTGATCTTGGTTCCCTGAATCCTGTCGGCCTGAACACGTTTTTTTTCTCCCCCCTTCTTGAACAGTACTTTCACCAAGGACAGAATCTTAGGCTGATGGGTTATTTTTGGCTCAGGGCACTGAACACATCATTCTGCTTCTTTCCAGCTTCCCCGGTTTCTGTTGAGAAATCAGCTGCCCCTATTCGAAAATGTCTATTTTCTATGGCGACATTTTTTATTTTTATGTTTTTTGAGAGAGAGGGTGCTTGTGAGCAGGGGGAGAGGGAGGGAGAGAATTCCAGGAAGCCTCCGCATTCAGCATGGAGCCCGCCGTGGGGCTCCGTCTCACGACCCTGAAATCATGACCTGAGTGGAAATCCAGACTCAGACGCTCAACCAACTGAGCCACCCAGGCTCTGCGGCCACTTTTAAGGACTCCTCTTTCACCTCAGGCGCAGTAGTTCCACTGGATGGGGCGACCCACGGCTGGATTTCTTTTTGTTCTGCTTGGGATTTACTGGGCTGGAGGTTTGTGGTTTGGTACATTTCTAGGATGTTCTCAGCCACTGTCTCTTCAGACACCACCTCCCTCCCACCGTCTCATGCTTCTCCTGGAACACCAAATGGCTTCCCTATGTCCTAACCTCTGTCCTCCACGGGTCCTAACCTCTCTTTCACAGCTTTCATCCTTTTGGTCTCCGTCTCTCTCCCTTCAGTAGCTTAAAGCCCTACCCCACCGTTAAACCTTGCATTGAGGTTTCCGTTAGTTCGTTCCTAGGGGATCTGACTCTTTTCCATTTAGTTGGAATTTATTCGCTCTTTGCTCATTTCTTCCAAATGTCTCTTACTGATTACAGCACGTGGAACGTAATGATCTTGTATTGTGTCCAATCGTCCCGGTCCCTGGAGTTTCTGTAGGTCTGGTTCTCCTTCCTATTGTTTCCGCTGGCTCTTCCTTACGCTGCCCCGCCTCCGTATGCGTTCAGCGATTTTTCGCGGAACTGCTCATCTTCCTTGGGACACTTAGCTCAGTAAACTCAGTGATAGGACCTGCATCTGATGCTGTCAGGGACTGGGAACACTGCTAGCGGGGAAGCACTTGAAAACTTGTACCGTTGTGACTTGGGAGTTTCTGAGCCATCCAGGCCTATGAATTTGGTTTGCAAACCCAAGTTCGTGAATTCTGGGAGACATCCCCCCTCCCCTTCCATTCAGGCTCCAATCAGTTTATGTTTCGGCTCTGGGAGGGGGGGACCGATGGAAGGTGTGGTCTCTCATTCATCCTTACCCGGAGAGCCCTCTGGGATCTCAGCCTAATGAAGGAAGAGTTCTCTAATGGGACTGGCTTTCTGGAGCCGGTCAGGGCTTCCAGAGGCCCAGCCATGAAAGGACTTAAAAACTGAAGCTTAAGTTGCCTCAATTTCAATTGGGCCTTAGGGCATGGCTGTCTTCCGCAGTTCTGCCGTCTGTCCTGGACTCCCTGCATCAATTATCCTTGACTTGGTTACTCCCCTTTCTTGTTGGGTGACACACGGACTAAAGAAGTTTTAAATATTTTATCTAACACTGGTCATGGTTTTTAAAGGAATGAGTGCACCAAGGATGTGGCATACCAGGTTGTCAGAGCTGGGTTCTCTGTGTGCCCAAATACTTGCCCAGCCCTAGAGCCTGCCCCCCTCCACTCAGAGCACCCACGGGCATAGCCAGACTCACCCCTGGACCCGGACGGTGTGGGAGTGCTCCGTGCTGCAGCCTGGCGGGCCGTGTGGGGGGTCGATGGAGACTGAGAGGCCACGTTTGCCATGAGCCGAGGCTGGGATGGATACGAGGGTAACTGTGTGGGGCAGGCGGGAGCCGGGGGAGTCGGGCAGGATCTGCTCGATGACGGGGGTCACCACGGTCTGGTAGTAACAGTGCCCACTGCAAGGGCCACGGATGTCAGGGACCCAAGGAGGGGGAAGAAAAGGGTTTGAGGACAGCTACCAGCATCACTGCTGCCCCCATCTCCCCGCCCCAGGCTCTTCTCTCCTCCCCACCTCCGGCTCCCCAGGGCAGGAGGGGCCGGAGGGTCGTAACTGCCTCATAGGCCCAGAGCAGGAACTGAGCATGTCCAGCCCAGCCCTTGCCCCCTCGGTCATTCTGGGCTCGTCTACTGCTGTCATGCTTGTGAGCTGGCCAGGAAAAGGCCGGGGGATAAATCCAGTTCAGGAGGAAGTCATTAAAAGTCCATTTGGGACTAAGCCATGCTGCCCGGGGAATCCAGCTTGATCAGCACCATCGAATAAAGAATTGGTCTGGTCTCTGTCCTGGTTCCTGGGAAAGAGGCTCTGAATCTTTGGAATATAAGTGTCCTTCAGCCCATACCTGAACTTGTGTTAACAGATGACTCAGGGTGGGGGGCAGTCACCAGGAAAAAACCAACCACGTGAGTAGTTGGGGGAGGGCTGTGACCCAGCCCGACCTTGGAGGTGGCAGCGAGGGTGGGCAGTGGAAGAGTAAAGCTTGATCACGTGCCCAATGACTCAACCAATGGTGCCTACATCATGAGACCCCAATAAAAACTCTGGTGATGTCAAGGCAGGTGGGGGCGTCACATGTCCTGATTCCGAGGTGGGGGGGATGCATGGAAACTCTGCATTTGGGGACCCCCCTGACTCTGCTCTTTGCCTCACTTCTGCTGGCTGGTCCTCATACAGGGGGATCTGCAACCTTGATCAAAACCCCTGAACTTGGGGCCAGTTGTGGACCGGGCCGAGCTTGTGGGGTGTGTACCAGAACTGCACCCCCGTGACGTGGGAGAGCGGGTGTTGGGGGGGGGCGTCCTCGCTGTGACTCCTGTGTCCTCTTGGTGACTTCTACACCAAACTTGTCCTCACACCTGACCCACGCGGGGAGGGAAAGGATGCTGGCGCGGGAGGCTCGGAACGGGGCGGGCACCCCGGGTTTGGAGGGGGCCTGGGCACTCACCAGTACAGCTTGGAGTGCTCCACGAGCGTGTAGGTGTCCCCGTCACCGATGAAGGTCCCGCACGTGAGGCAGATGAAGCACTCGGGGTGGTATTTCAGCTCCCCGGCCACCTGGCAGGGGGGTGGCAGAGACAACCCAGCTCAGCAGCCCCTTCCGCCCCTCCCCTCGGAAGGGCAGCCCCAAGCCAACTTTGGGGGCCCGGCTGGCTGGCTGGCTCTAGGATGCTGGTTCCAGAGATGCACAGACAGACCAAGGGGCTCAGCGGGCCAGGGGGTAGGGGGCAGAGTCCGAGCCAGCGAAAAGGAGAACCAGAGAGCACTGGGCTAGGGGCACCCATGAGGACACACACGTGCTGGCACCAGGTGCAGGGTGTGAGCGGGGCGGGGTGCTTACCATGACCAGTCCCTTGGTGATGTGCTCTGAGCACCCGTGGCAGGACTCTCCATAGCGGGCCCAGTAGTCTCTCTTGCAGAAGAGCTGCCCATCCTTCTCATAGTACTGGTGTGAAAGGGGGGCACTGCACTCACAACACCTGGGGGGAAGAGGCACGGGGACTCAGTCTGGCCCCTTTCCCCAACAGCAGGTGCCCCTGTAAGAATGAGAAAAAGGGCCACCTTCCTTGGGCAGAAGCAGCGTGTGCTGGGGCCCAAGGCTCAGCAGGTGGAGTCTGGGATGGCTTCAGCAGGAAGCCTCTGTGCAGTGCACAGCCTGCACAACCACCCATGGCCGTTCTGCCTCCAGAGCACCAGATCACCTGGCCGACCTGCCAGCCCCAGGGTGAGAAGTGCTCTTCACTTCTGAGCTCCTGTCCCTCGCAATGCAAAGGAGATGGCCCAGGGAAGGCAAACGACTTGCTCTTGTGCTCACCAGTCCGGTGGAGGGGGAAATGGAACTTGGGCACCCGGGACTCGGGTGGGGCTGATGCAGATGGCCGTGACCTGGGGGGAGCTGTGGAGAACTACCAAAAGCCGGCACCTGCCCACTGTCTGGGCTCAATGTACTTAATCCACACTGGCCACCATGAGGCAGATGAATTCTGGAGGCTCGAGACGGCCGAAGGTCATGGGATGGGTGCCACAACCTCAAGCAAAGCTCCTCCCTGTTCCACTATGATATAAGGAAAGAATGTAGCTTGGCAGACCCCAGCCAGCATCACTGAAGACAGAGGAGCTCCCAGATTCCTAGACCTCATCCAGCACTCGGGTGCTGAGGTCCCAAGAAGGGGGCACAGCCTGGGCCGGTTCAACCCTGCTCAACCAGGACCCCAGCGCCCGCCCCCACCCTCAGGGGAGCAGTCACACTGTAGGTATGACACCCAGATGTGCAGTCATCAAGGATGGGACCTCCTGCCTTGCCGGGAGGGGATACAGGACAGGCCCAGCTGGGGCTCCTTAAAGGACCTGGGGAGAAATGAGGAAGCTTCCTGCTTCCTTCCCTGTGTTATCCCACAGGCCAGGAACTGGACCTACATGCCTGGCTTCCTTCCACCCAAGTGAACTGGATGGGGACCAGGAGCTCAGCTAAGGCAGGACGAGCAACTGCAGAAATGCATGATGTCCCAGGAGCCAGGAGCCACGCTGGGTTTTGGAGAGCCTGACGGAGGGACCTGGCTGCACAGGTATGTCTGGGCCAGAGTCTGCAGTGAGTAGAGAATCTACCTGGCTCCTCCACTGCCCTCTAAGCATGCTGGGTCATGTGCCAAGGTCATGCAGGGACGGGGTACCAGGCTCAGAGCTCACTCCCAGTAAGGAAACAATCCAGGAGAGAGGAGGGCAGGAAAGACCGGGGCCTGAGGGAGACCACCCGGTCCCCCGGCGGGCAGGGAACTGTCAGTCTCTGCAGCCAGCCCTCTGATGGCATGACCTCACTCACTCATCTCTTTAGCAACTGCAGATGAAGATGCGGGAGAGGGCGGCAACCCAGAGTGCTGGTGGGACACTGTCCCTTTAAGAGGATCCAGCCAGTTCCCCATTGTCTGGGAGCCTAAGGGGAGGGGCTGGGGGACCACAGGGTGGGGGGGATTGGGGAGGAGAAGGCACAAAGCGCCTGGGTGCAGATGCATCCGGGTGGGGGTGCACCCAGGAAGGGGGGGATCCAATGAGCTCCCTCTAGGAAAGGTGGGAGTGGGGGAGGGAAGGCCTCCGGAGACCGCCCTGGGACACGAGAGGAGGCAGCGGAAGCAACGCTGGCCGGGAGCCATGACGTCATCCCCAGCCCTTCCTGCCCCCGCACACCAGGCCCTGGCCCCGGGCGCCCTTAGTGGGCGCAACTCACCGCGGGGTGGGCGAAGGGGCGCGGAAGGCGCGGGGCCTGGAAGGAGGCCGCCCACGAGGAGGGGGATCCCCACTGCACGCCCTCAGGGGCCCCCAGCCTGGCGGGAAGGTGCGCAGCCGAGGAGCCGGCTCCCGGAAGAGGCGGGCGCGCGCCCCGCACCGTGACCTTGGCGAGGCTCCCCCACCGCCCGCGCGCCCTGTGCCATCCGCGAGTGATTCACTTTGCCCTTCCACCGGCTAGACACTCGGCGCGTCACAGCAATGTCACCACATTAGTCTCCCCCTCACTGCGGGCTGCCAGGCTGCAGGAAGCAGGGCCCCGCCTGCCCCTGGTGGGTGGGCTGGTGGGGGATCCGGGCAGCTGCCTTCCTCTGGGGGAGGAGAATGCTCCTCTCCAGCCGGCCAGCTCCTACACTCCTGCACTAACATTCCTCACTGTAGTAGCCCGGGAAGATGGCGCGCTGACTCCCACAAGGACTGGGGGAGCCCATTCGGCTCCCTGGTCACCACTTCCTTGAAGCCCACTCAGTCACCTGGCTGGAGTGCCCACCAATGCAGCCTCCATCGCCAGCCCTGGCCGGCACCCCCACTCTCTGCCATCACCCCGAGGGCTCTCTTGAGGTCCCATGCCAGAAGTCCACGAATGCTGGACCCAGAGAGAACAGAAGTGGCTCCTGCAGAACACTGAACCTGGAGTGGGTCCGCCCCGAGCATCCCAGACCGCCACCTCGGACAGGGGAGCAGCTTGGGGTGGGCACTCAGGGCCTCAGTGGACCTCTGCATGTGGAAGGCACAGAGGAGCCCCTGGCCCTGTCCATCCCTTCACCTCTCAGGCCAGTATCTGGCCACCAGCCAGAGCAGGAAAGGGGGGGGGCTCTTAAGGGAACCCCCACCCCTGCTGCTGCCTCCAGCAGGGATGTCAAGGGGGGAGCACCAGGCACTGAGGGCATGAAGAGATGGCCTTGGGCCGGACAGAGGAACTGCTGGAGGGCAGGCAGGCAGGCAGGCAGACGTCCATCCCTCCCAGGGATGCCCTCCAGCCAGGGCCACATCCCCGGACACCAGGGATGAAGAAAAAACAGCTGGAGGACCAGCCTCACGGGGAGACCGGACCAAAGGGCCAGAAGAAGGCTCCGCAGCCGCCGGCCTGCCTCCCCCAACAGGCGGCCAACAGTGACCAAGGAGTTTCAGTTCTCCTGCCCCCGGAGCTGCCCGCTCCCAGGTAGGTCTGCCCCACAGGGCAGCCTCCGGCCCCAGGGGGCCCTCAGACCAGGCACCCAGCCTGAGGTGTGGGCTGGGTTGGGCAGGGGGATTTGCACTTACTTGGCTCCTCTGAGGAAGCGGCTTCTTCTCAGGGCCAGCATCCCTTGCTGCAGGGGTGCAGCGTGGGGGGGTGGGCCCGGCCAGCTGCTTCCCCATCCTACTCCAGGCCCTCAGGATTGGAGGCCGCAGAGGGTCAGGGGTGGGGCCAGAGCGGCCACATGGTGGGGGAGGAGGCTGCAGGGCTGCTGCTGAGGAGGCTGAGGAGGACTTGGTCCAGGCCCACAACAGGAAGCCGTTGGGGGGCCTTCTGCTGGTGCAGGCAGGGGGGGGGGGCACTCCGCCCTCAGCCCTGCACCTCGGAGAGCGCCCTTCAGGTCCCTTAGCCTCTGGCTGGACCAAGGGAGGCTCGGGACTCCCTGGGGACAGGGACAAGCCCCAAAGCAGCTGCTTCTTCCGGTGTTGCTGCCAAAGGGACAGAGGTTGACTTCCACGGATGGCCTGTCCTCCCTGCCTGAAAGGTCCCCCGGAGAGGGGGAGACCGCACCCTGGCCCGGGCTCTGAACCGCATGCCCGCTGCGTGCTCACCCCTACTCACCGGGGGCCCAGCCCACCAGCCTCCGAGATGTCACCAGAGCTACGGTGGGGCCCCAGGGCCGAAGGGCTGCTGGCTTCTGGGACAGACCCTTTCCGGCCAGCAGCTGGACCTGAGCAACGCTTGGACCACTCCGTCCGGCTGTGACCTCCTGGGAGGTGGGGCCCACAGGAGGTGGGACAGCTAGAACAGAGAAAGGAGTGGGCCCTGTGGTGACAGTGACCCCCTGTGCTAATGCCAGAGGCAGGCCATGTGCCTTTGCAACTCTCCCATGGCAAGGAACTCGGGGCCCGGGAGCCGGTGGCAGCCCCACGTCACGGTCCCGAGAGGCTCCTAGGGACAAAGCAAGTAGAGTCCAGAGCCCAGCTGCTGGGTGGCCTTGGGCACACGGTGACTCCTCTCAGACAGTGCTTCCTAACTGTCACGGCGGTGAGGACACCACTGGCCTGGCTCAGATCTGGGGGCCGTTGGGAGAAGCCTAGACCACTTGGCCAGGAGCACGTGTGGAGGCCAGAATGCCGACGCTGTGGCTCTTACTGCCTGTGGGGCTGCTTTCGTGGTTATGCACCCCATCACACCAGGGACAGCGGCACATCCTTCTTCCTCCTCCCTGACGTGGGCCCGACTCCTCCTGGTCACAGGGCAGGGACCCCTCCAAAGCCAGATCCTGTCCCCTGCCCCCCACTCGGCTTCCCTGTTGTGGCTTCTATGGCCGCATTCCCGGCCCTCCCCCGTGTCTCCCCAAATTCCACCTCCCTCCCCACCCTCAGGACAGGGGTCCCCAAAGTTCCTCCGGATTCCTCGGCCCCATCCTGAATCCTGCCCACTATCTCAGCATCCTGGCCCCGCAGGAGCTGCCTCTCCAGCCTTCCCGCCTCTGAGGGGTCTCAAAGCACCTCACCAGCTCTGGGCAGGGCCCTGCCACCCGGGACGGCCTGCTGCATCTCAATTCGATGTGGCTGGGCACAGTTCAGCATCAGCCCGCTGCCGTGGTTCCCAGGGAGCCGAAGGAGTGCCATGCTCCCCAGCGCCCAGGGCAAAAGCCCAGATGGCTTCAGATGCTCCCCCTGCTATTCCCCAGTCCCGCGCCCCTCACCTCTTCACCTCTGCAGTGACTTGGGGCAAGGCCGACACAGGCTCTAGCCCGTTGTCGCGTGTAAACGCACAAATCACGGTACCTCACAGGGGGATGGCGAGGGCTTCATGCCATCCAGCTGGCCCTCGAACGATGCCAGAGTTAGGGGCACCAACGCCCGCACAGCCACAAACCCATGGGTAACTTTCAACTCCCCCAAACTTCACTACTCCCGGCCTGCTGGTGCCCGGAAGCCTTCCCCGTAACATCAATAGTCAACACATGTTCCGTATGCTATATGGAGCACCTGGCGTATTCTTACAGCAAAGCAAGCTAAAGAAAACGTTACTAAGAAAATCACAGAGAAAAGACATCTATGGTATCATACGGTAAAGAAATCTGCATAAAAGTAGACCGGTGAGGTTCAAACCTGGGGTGTTCAGGGTCAAGGGTAACGTCAAAAACGCCCGATAAACAATGGCTAATACGATCGCTAGCGGGAACTGTCCCCTCTCTCCATTTGTCGTCACTGTCCGAGGTCAGGCCTTATGAGCTCAGATCCCTGAACTACTGTGACAGTCCCTTCCCTGCCAAGTCACCGCCATCTGCCCACTGGGATGGCATTTTTCACTAGCACTTCCACCCACGTCCCTCCCCTGCTTTCTGCAAACCCTCGGCTGACGCCCTAGTGCCCTTGGAAGGGCCTTATCTTGGCCTTGGGGTCCTGTCACAGGCTGATCCCAACCTTCCTCCCCCGCTCCCTCTTTTCGAACCAGATGAGCTCTTCCCATTTCTGTCTCTGTGCATGTGGCTTTCTCCAGCTATCCAGAGCCCTCTTTGTCCCCAAAGGCCCCTTTGTGAACCCCTGATCGGGAGCCCTGGGCCCCGTGCCTGCCTCTCCTCTGGCCTCATCAGCCAGAATCATCGCTGGCTGTGTGACTGGTCAAGAGAATTAATGTCTGTGTCCCCAGTAACGGAGACAACACAGTATCTGATTAGACAAAGTCCTTAGAAGGATGCCAGGCCCTTGCTAAGTTGCAGAAAATGTTGGACGTTGTTCTTAAAGAAAAAACAAATAAACAAAACTTGTCAGAGGTTCCTGCCGGCGGAAATAAACCCCTGTAGCTGGCGGTTGATGCCTTCCCACCCCAACCCTGTTCTTCACCGACTGGCCCTGTGCTGTCACCCCTCCACCCCTGCCGCCTGCCAGAAGGCCCACTGCCTGGAACTGCTTCCTGCCATAATTCCCCGCGCAGGATGTCTCATGTCTCCGAAACCCCGGTTCTGACCCTACGGCTAACCCTAAGGCTATCCCCTGCACCTGCTTCTCAGGATGGTCCTGCTGGGTGGCTGGGCCACGTTTGGGTCCCCCGTGCTTGGCCACAGCCCTGACCTTGCTCTCTGATGCTTGGAGCTGCTTCCTGAAGGAAGGGGCTGGCCTTATTGGACTGTGCCTGTTCACAACGAGCCTGGGGCCTGGGTTGTATCCTCCCTCCTTCTCTAGAGGCAGGGGCACACTGCCCTCCATGGCCTCCCCCTGCCTAGGTGCCAGAAGGCCTCAGTAATATGGGGGGAAATGCAGGTCTCCCTTCTCCTCTCCTAAGAGATCTAGGATGACAAAACAGAAAGGCCCCTGGGGACCTTCTAGTCCCCATGCCCCATTTTACAGGTGGGGAAACTAACCGGAGTCGGTGCCAGAGGGACTAGCCATGTCTCCCGGACCGCTGAGCCGGCCTCTGGTCGCTGTCAGGCCTTGCTCAGGGCACCCCCACCCCGGCCAGCCTGGCCTACCTGAAGCAGTCTGCGTGCCAGTCAGCACTCAGGGCCTGGAGGTACTGGCCGTCATAGATCCTTTGGCCGCAGCTCGCACACACGGGCAGCTCACTTCCTGCAAAGACACAGGCAGTCAGCAGTCCCTCTCGGGAGGCGCGGTCTGGTGCAGGTCCGGCCTGCCCAGCCCACCCCACGGGGACCCGGCACCTTCTCCTGCATGTACACAGAGCACCCAGATACTGTGCCTAGCGGAAGGAGAAAGGACGTGGGTCTGAGAGTCTCATTGAGACCTTAGCTAACTTGCTAGGCCTCTGGGGGCCTCAGTTTCCCTATTTGTCAACTGAAGAGGAGGACACAGGATGTCCACTCTCCAGCAACAGCGTTCTCCTGCCTCAACTCCTGTTTAGCAAGGTCAAACGGGAGAAAGCAAGTGGCAGGATTTAGAGATAAGGCAGCAGGTGACACTGCTGTCATAGCCTCTTTCCTCCCTGGCCTTCCAGAAAGAGGAAGCTTCAAAAGGGCAGGGACTGGACAGGGCTGGGACGGTGTATCCAGAGCTGAAGCCCGTATAAGAGGAGAAAGGCAGGTAGCCCAGAGGTGCTGGCCTCATCTGAGTTTCAGCTGTGCCTTGGCCTCTGAGGGCCTGGGGCTTTAGAGCTGGGCACTCACAGACACCTGCTTTGGGGACGCCTAGTGCCTTTTCAAGCCGGCCATTAGGCGTGCTTAGTCATTCTAGGGCCTGGTATCCTTGGAGCTGGGTGGGCCCTGGAGGAACCCCCCAAACCTACTCATCCCCATTGTACAGATGGGGAGACTGAGTCCTGGAGGGGGCAGGCCTGTCATAAAGCCAGGCTCCCAGGCTACAGCCTGGCCCTCCGTGAGGATGCAGGGACCAAAAGGTAGGGAGGGGTGACAGTGAGAAGGGCTCTTGCTCCAAGTAGGCCTTCAAGGGCCTGGGGACGGCTGGCAGGAGCCTTAGGGAAGGGCAGGGCTGGAGGAGTTGGCATCAATGGGACCTGGATTGGACCAGGTGAGCCTCTGTGATGGCTGCTGGGGAAACCCCGGAAAGGGGACACCAGGGAGGGAGTCTTGGAGGTCTTCATACCCTAACTGTCCTGCAAGCTGATCCTTGGGCCCCAGGAAGGGGAAAGGGGCTGAAGAGGAGACTAGAATGACAGTCATCTTCCCAGCCACGACGGATGGCAGGCACTGGGTTTGGTGCAGGGAGAGGGGGTGGAGGCCCCCGGGATACCGCCGACGGCTCCCTGGAGGAGGCTTCTCAACCCGGCCCCAACCACCAGTACCGGGGGCCAAGTACCCAGCCCCCAATCGTAAAGACGGGGAAACTGAGGCCTGGCACGTAGCCCATCCCTAGCTCAAGGTCAAGGAGCTGGGCGGGCGGCTCGGACCCAGGGCTGCGGCTTTCCCAGCCCCTTTCTTCCCTGCCGGCTTAGAGACAGGATAAGGGGTGGCCCCAGTGCGAGTACCCGGGTGGGCAGAGCACGCGGAGGGAGGCCGGGGCCGGCCAGGCAGCGCCCGGGACTCCTCCCGGGTGGTCGTCGGTCGGGGGAGGGGGAAGGCGGGGATGAAAGGGAGGAGGGGGCCAGCCCGGGCCAAGCGGGGGGAAACGGGGTGGGAGCGTGTCAGGGAGGGGCCGGACGGCTCGGAAAAGGGCGAGCTCAGCCCAGAGAAGGCAGGGGCGCGGCCTCGCGGCAGACCCGGCCTCCGCGGCCGCCGGGCCCGGCCCCCTCCCGGCCGCCCGCTCCCCCCACCCCCCGGGCCCCGGCGCGACGCCCCCGCCCGTTCGGCCCCGGCGGGTGCCCCTCCCGGCCCGCGCCCAGCGCACCTTCCTCTCCCATACGTTCTTCCCTCCAGGTGCAACAAAGTAGCGTCAACCTCATGCACTCGGCGGGGGGCGGGGCCCGGCGGGCTGGGGCTGGGGGCGGCCCGGGCCCCGCGAGCTCGCCCGCAGCCGCAGCCGCCGCCGCCGCCGCCGCCGCCGCCGCCGGCCCGGGAGGCGGAGGCGGAGAGCGCGGGGCGGGCCGGGGTGGGCTCGGGGCTCCCGGCGCCGCCGCCGCCTCTCGGACACCGGCTCCGGCACCGGCTCCGCGCCGCGGCGGCCTGGGGACCGAGCGGAGGGGCGGGCCGGGGCGGGGCCTGGAGCTGCGGCACGGGGGCGGGGCGGGGCGCGGGCGAGCGGCCGAACTGCCTTGCGCGGCCCCGCCCCGCGCCCCCGGCGGCGCCCCGCCCCGCCCTTTCATTCATCTCCGCGCGAGCGCCAAGTCCCGGCTGGGCGCCGCGAGGCGGGGCCTCGTAAGCGCAAAACTGCGGCACCGGAGGGGAAGCGTGCTCGGATGAGGCGGCTTCGGAGGATGCGGAGGCCCGGACGGGGGGGCCTCAGTTTCTCCGCGGGGGGGGCCCCTGTGACCTAAGTCAGCTGATGACCAAGAGCCCAGACCGGCGCTGGAGGAGGCGGTGTGGACCCTGAGGAAGGACCCGTGGTGGCCGCCTTGAGGAGGGGCGCCTCTCACGTCCTCTCCCTCTCTGACCCCTGCAGTGAGGTCAGGCCCCGGCGGGGGGAAGGCCATGGCCCACGTCTCAGGCCCTCACCGGCTAGGCAGGGAGCTAAAGGAGGACGCTCTGGGGAGGAGTGGACCCCTGGGGGGCTGTGACAGATGTGCTTAGGGGTCTGCACACCCCAGTATTGGAGACTTGGAGCTCCAGCCCTGCCCACGGTGCAGGAGGAGGCACAGCTTTGAAATGGCCAGAGGAATTGCGCTGTCCCCAAAGCAGGGGTCCCCAGTCTAGCACTGAAGAGATGAACCATTCTGCCTGGAAGTGGAGAATCCTAGAATGCTGGACCTGGGGAGGGGTGACCCTTTCTCCCTTTAGACCCCTCCCCCACTTCATTCCCTTGCAGAGAAGTGGTGAGCGGAGAGGCTGAGCACCATGCCCAGGGGCGCCCAGTGAACAAGGGGCAGATCTGTCCCCACTTGGGTTCTACATAATCACGAGTGTGTAGGCTCCTCTAGCCAGGGCCAGCAGCAGGCAAGGCAGGGGCCCTCAGCCCTGGGTGCAAAAAACAGTTACCTGGGGGAGGGAAGAAAATATTAGAATTTTAATTTCTCATAAGAAAGAAGCTGGGCTTTAAAAATACTTAATATTTATTTATTTATTTAATTTTATTTTTTTAAAGATTTTATTTATTTATTTGTCAGGGACAGAGGGAGAGAGAGCAAGCAAGCACAGGCAGACAGGCAGGCAGAGGCAGAGGGAGAAGCAGGTTCCCTGCCGAGCAAGGAGTCCAATGTGGGACTCGATCCCAGGACACTGGGATCATGACCTGAGCCGAAGGCAGCCACTTAACCAACTGAGCCACCCAGGCGTCCCTAAAAATACTTAATATTTATATTGGCGTCAGTGCCCTTGCTCTGTCTTGGTCAGATGGCTTCCTGAGCGGGCCATCGTGCAGGCTGGAGGGGGGCACAGAGTGGACCTGGAGGGACCCTGCGCCTGTGCCGACTTAGTTGGGCGATTTTGTCAAGTTTTAACAAAACTAACGTTCACAGAACGGACCTGTGGCTGCCAAAGATTCCTGAAAAGAAAGCTGAGTTGGAAGACAATGCTGGTCCTGTAAGACGAACAAAAAAGATGGAGCGTCTGTCCCTGGTAGGAACTGCTTGTCAGCCCCAGTTCCCGGCAGAACCAGGGACTGGATCATCAGATCGGACATGTTCAGTCTCTCGTATAAGGTATTATGTCTTTTCTTTTTTTTTTTTTTTTTTTTTTTTTTTCTTTCTTTCTTTCTTTCTTTCTTTCTTTTTATTTTTTTAAAGATTTTATTTATTTATTTGACAGACAGAGATCACAAGTAGGCAGAGAGGCAGGCAGAGAGAGAGGAGGAAGCAGGCTCCCCGCTGAGCAGAGAGCCCGATGTGGGGCTCGATCCCAGGACTCCGAGATCATGACCTGAGCCAAAGGCAGAGGCTTAACCCACTGAGCCACCCAGGCACCCCCCGCCTTTTTTTTTTAAAGACAAAAAAAGGAATTTTGTATTTTTAAATGATACTATTGTTCGAGTACTGTTTTTCATCTTTGGAGGACTCTTTGTGAACTCCGCTTTTGCGTGGTGATGGGATGACCGTGTTTTATTCGAGTGGTCGAGTACGTCTGTGACTTACAAGTGAGAATGAGTACGTGTGTGGGGTGGGGAGCAAATTGAGAGCCCCGGTTTGGATCCATTAAGTTTTAGGAGTCTGTTTGCCATATATATGACGTTTGCTCAAAAATATCTTACTGATGGGAGGCACCTGGGTGGCTCAGTGGGTTAAAGCCTCTGCCTTCGGCTCGGGTCATGATCTCAGGGTCCTGGAATCGAGCCCCGCATCGGGCTCTCTGCTCCGCGGGGAGCCTGCTCCCCCCTCCCCTGCCTCTGCCTACTTGTGATCTCTGTCTCTGTCAAATACATAAATAAAATCTTTTTAAAAATAAAAAAAATATTTTACTGATGGGGTTCACGATAAAAATTTTCGTGATGGGTCAAGAGCCCTGGGGGAAAGGCTCGTTTACTCCAGGTCACTGATTAGGATTTGTCTGAAATTGCTAAGTGGGTGCCTGGCGAGAAACACAAGCTAGTGACAAGCAAGAAGCTCCGTGGGGATAAGGATGCTGTCACAGGATGAGCCCAAGACTGTCACCCAGGCAGGGGCCTACTCCTGAGCTGTCCTAGCCTCGGGACAAAAAGAGCTGGCATCACAGGATCCCTGTGGTCAGACACAGTCTGCCCCCTTCTCGCCCACTCTGGGTGACCTCACCCAGACACGTTGCTTGGTGACTCGCCTGCCCCGTCTTTGAACTGCAAGACTTGAGCACACAAATGTCTCCTTGGCGCCTCCACTTTGATGGCATATGGGCACCTCACACTTAATGTGTCCAGGCCAGAGCTCTTAATGGGTGCCTGGGGCTGCTGTTCGCAGTGGTTCCTCATTTCTGTCAATGACATACCATCCTCTCGTGGTTCAGGCCCAAACTTGCTGGTGGCCTTGACCTCTCTCATTCTCTGCTTCTGCCCCTTGTGTCTGATCTGTCGGCACATTCTACTGCCTTTCTGCACAGCATATATCCAGAATTCCACCACTTCTCCCTCCTCCCTGGTCTAGCCGGGTGCACTGGGCAGTAGTCCCAGGTCACGTCCTCCTAATACCCTTCGGAGCTTCTGAACACATGGGTCAAAGCGGGACATTTTCTTGCTTTTAAACCCAAAGCCCTACTTCGATCTTTACAGGACTTAGCCTCTGGCTAGTTCTTTGCTTTTATTTCTTCTCTCTTTGCTCACTTTTGTTAACCATCGTGGGCCTCTTCTGCTGTTCCAACTTCCCAAGCATGTGCTCATCACTGGCTCTTTGACTGGAGGTCGGGTGTCCCCACCCATCCCAATAACTTAACATTCTCCATCACTCCCTATCTCCTTCCCTGGCTTTTATTTCTTTCTAATTAAAAAAAAAATTTTTTTTAAGTTTATTTATTTATTTTTTAAAGACTTTATTTATTTGAGAGAGAGAGAGGCAGAGAGAGCAGGAGTGAAAGGGAGAGGCAGAAGCAGACTCCCTGCTGAGTAGGGAGCCCGATGTGGGCCTTGATCCCAGGACCCTGAGATCGCGACCTGAGCCGAAGGCAGATGCTTAACTGAGTGAGCCACCCAGGCGCCCCCTAAAGTCTATTTATTTGTTTTTTTAGTAATCTCTACCCCCAGTGTTGCGCGTGAACTCACAACTCTTCCCACTAAGCCAACCAGGTGCCCCTATCCCAGCTTTTAATCCTCATGGAGCTGATTCTCCTGACATTAGAGGGAATCCTTTATCAACTGTTTCCTGGGGCTGCTCTAGAAAATTACCACAAACTCGGTTTAAGTGAGTGTGTGTGTGGGGTGGGGAGCAAATTAAGAAACTACAGAAATTAATTTGCTCCCTGTTCTGGAGACCAGAAGTCTGAAATCAGTTTGAGCCCAAGTCAAAGGCAGTGTGCCTTCTGGAAACTCTAGAGGAGAATCAGTGCCTTTCCTCTTCAAGCTTCTCCTTTTTTTTTTTCAAAGATTTTATTTATTTATTTGACACAGAGAGAGACGATCACAAGTAGGCACAGAGGCAGGCAGAAAGAGAGAGGAGGAAGCAGGCTCCCCACTGAGCAGAGAGCCTGATGCGGGACTCGATCCCAGGACCCCAAGACCACGACCTGAGCCGAAGGCAGAGGCCCAATCCTCTGAGCCACCCAGGTGCCCCTAAGCTTCTCCTTTTTTAAACTGTAGTTAAAAGCACATAATATAAATTTACCATCTTAATCATTTTTTCTTTTAAGTAGGCTCCATGCCTAGCACAGAGCTCCAGCGCGGGACCCGAACTCATGACCCTGAGATCGCGACCTGAGCCGAGATCAAGAACCAGACACCCAACCAAGAGAGCCACCCAGGAACCCCCATCTTAACCCCCCTTTTTTTGTTTTTGAGACAGATCGAGAGAGCGTGCTGGCTCGCACGCGCCTGTGACCAGGGGAGGGGAGAAGAGAGAGAGAGAATCTTAAACAGGCTCCACGCCCCGTGTGGAGGCCGATGTGGGGCTCGATCCCAGGACCCCAAGATGGTGACCTGAGCTGAAATCAAGAGTCAGATGCTTCACCGACTGTGTCCCCCCTCCCCGGGGTGCCCCTGTTTGTTAAGCTTCGAATTTTGGTGTTCTATTCCGGATTTTGTTGAGTTGCGTATCTGTGTCCTCTCACGGTTCCTCGGGCTTCTCGGAGACAATTACTTTGCATTCTCTGCCAGGACGCTCATGGCTCTACATTTCTTCAGAGCTGGTCACTGGAGTTTCATCAGTTCCCTTTGGCACTGTCGTGTTTACCTGATTCTTGGTGATGTGTGGAGCCTTGCGTGGGTGTCCGGGCCCTGAAGGAGTAGACGAGCCTTCAGACTCATTTTTTTTTTTTTTAAGATTTTATTTACAGGCTTTGCAGACTCATTTTAATAGC